GGTGGGCAGGGCTGGAGCCTGTTGGAAGGTGTGGAGAACATCAGATTCTCCAGAGATCATTGTGGGACACAACAGGACAGGTCAGAGGAAAGGACACAGACTCTGACGGGACAACAGGACAGAACCAGCAGTGACATGCTGCGTGGGAAGCAGCTCAGATGCTGGTCTGTCCAGGTTCACACAACAGCCCAGGAAGGTGGAAGGAATTCCATGGAGCTCTGGGAAGTGGCTGACACTGAAGTGAGGAGGGAAGGTGGGATGAGTGCAGAGAGATGCCATCAAGTCAATAATTGGACACCAACAGAGCTCTGCGCGGCCACATGTGGTCTTTACCCTTGATGGTGAGCGTGGCCGAGGTTCTCTCCTGCCCACACACGCACGAGTACTCCCCAGCATCTGCCATGGTCAGGCCACGGATCTCCAGCTCACACATGACTCCTTCCTGCCTCAGGGTCACTCTGTCCTCTGATTTTAGGGTCTTGGGCCCTTTCCTCCACTCCACGGGCGCCTCTTTGCTCAGCTCACAGCACAGTATAGCTCTGGCTCCTTCTGTGGCCTCTTCCTTCTTCAGGTCCTTTATGAACTTGGCAGGCAGGGCTGGGGAGGGTCAGCAGACATAGAACATCAGAGTCTCAGGAGAACTTTGGAGACAGGACACGACATGACAGAGGAAAAGACACAAACAGGACAATAGGACAGAAGCAGCAGTGACACACTGAGGGGGAAGTAGATCAGATGCTGGTTTCTCATGGTTCACAGAACAACCTAGAAAGGTGGAAGGAATTCCATGGAGCTGAGAGAAGAGGGTGATACTCAGATGAGGAAGGAAGTTTGGATGAATGCAGTGGAATACCATCAAGTCAACAATTGGACACCAAACACAGCTCAGCTTGGCCACACATGATCTTTACCCTTGACGGTGAGCGTGGCCGAGGTTCTCTCCTGCCCACACACGCACGAGTACTCCCCAGAGTCTGCCATGGTCAGGCCACGGATCTCCAGCTCACACACAGCACCGTCATGCCTCAGCGTCAGTCTGTCTTCAGATTTGAGGGTCTCAGGCCCCTTCTTCCACTCCACGGGGGCCTCCTTGCTCAGCTCACAACACAGCATCACTGTGGCCCCTTCTGTGGCCTCTTCCTTCTTCAGGTCCTTAATGAAGTTGGCAGGCAGGGCTGGGGAGGGTCACACAGACATAGAACATCAGAGTTTCAGAGGAACTTCGGAGACAGGACATGACATGACAGAGGAACAGACAGAGACCAACAGGACAACAGGCCAGAACCACAGTGACACGCTGGAAGAGAAGAAGCTCAGATGCTGGTTTCTCATGGTTCATACAACAGCCCAGGAAGGTGGGATGAATTCAGCAGGATGCCATCAAGTCAGTAATCAGACACCAAAACACAGCTCTGCTTGGCCACACGTGGTCTTTACCCTTGACGGTGAGCATGGCCGAGGTTCTCTCCTGCCCACACACGCACGAGTACTCCCCAGCATCTGCCTTGGTCAGGTCACGAATCTCCAGCTCACATACGACTCCGTCCTGCATCATGTTGACTTTGTCCCCAGATTGGAGGGTCTTGGGCCCCTTCCTCCACTCCACAGGGGCCGCCTTGCTCAGCTCACAGTGTAGGGTAGCTGTGGCCCCTTCCACGGCTTCTTCATTCCTCAGACCCTTTGTGAACTTGGTGGGCAGGGCTAGGGCGTTGGAAAGACACACACACACAGTCACGCTCTGTGAGCGCACAGAAGAGACAGGTTTGAACAGCACAGAGGAAACACAAAAGCCAGGGAGACCCGGGACATATGCCAAGGACACACTGTGGATTGAGGCTTCCCTCAGCCCAGCCCTTTCTGTGGACATTTCAGGCCTCAAACTTTACATGAATCTGGAAAGCAGGACTGGGGAGGGTCAGAATGCCACAGAGACCATCAGGTTCTCTGGAGAATTTGGCGGGGAGGCAGGACATGACAGGACGGAGAAAAAGACAGAGACTCTGACAGGAAAACAAGACAGCACTGGCAGTCACACAAGGGGTGGGAGGTGGGTTAATTGCTGGTTTCTTCTGGTTCATCCAGCAGCCCAGGAAAGCAGAAGGGATCCCATGGAGTTATGGAAAGAGGGTGACACTGAGACAGGAAACGAATGTAGAATGAATATACAGAGATGTCATAAAGTCAGCAACTGGACACCAAACACAGCTCTGCTTGGCCACACGTGGTCTTTACCCCGACAGGGAGCGTGGCCGAGGTTCTCCCTTGCCTGCGCACACACGAGGATTCCCCAGCGTCCACTACAGCCAGGCCATGGATCTCCAGCTCACACACGGCCCCGTCCTGCCTCTCCCTCACTCTGTCCCCATCTCAGAAGGCCTCAGGCCCCTTCCTCCACCCCGCAGGGGCCACTCCGCTCAGCTCACAAAGCACAGTATGGCTGTGGCCCCTTCCTTCCTCAGACCCTTCATGAACTTAGCAGGCAGGGCTGGGGAGGGCCAAGAGGCCACTGAGAACATCAGACTGTCGGAGGGACTCTGCATCCAGGACGAGGACATCCACGAAAAGCACACACACTGCCAAAGACCACAGTATGAACAAGTGAATGAATGCACAGAGGGTGATGGGAGCAAATGTCCCAGAGGGAACAAAGGGCACAAAGGACTGGATGTGAACATTAGAACAGCTACTGGAAGAGGAGACAGGAGCTATGAGGCATCTGGGGGAACCCAGGAGAAAAGACATAGACAGCCATAGGGTCCCACAGAGGAGAAGGTGGTGACACGGAGACAATGTGCAGACATGAAGCCACAGGTCCACGTGGCTTCACACAGTCTTTACCCTTGACGGTGAGTTTGGCCGAGG